AGGTCATAGGTTGGCCATCATCAAATATTCAAAATAATAAAGCTTGCTTTGTTTGATCGTGTCAGTCATTGTAATAGATTAGGCTTGTAGGCTTGTATAATTTAAATGAAGAAATAAGCTGATTTATTTATTGGCTGATTGATTGATTGAATGATTGAATGATTGATTGATTGATTGATAGTACAGCTCACTTCTTTCTGTGTACCCTTTTTTATATCATTCTTGCTTCTAGATTTAATAATATAGTAGCTCCAAACCTACAAATCATGACTTATTTTGTGCTTTGTTGTTCACACCCTGCATGCGCCCGATTAAGCCATCACCTGGGTTATGCGCCTGATTAAGCCTTGACCTGGGTTTTCTGTCACATTCTTTTTATTTTTAATAATAGTTCAATTTGACAAATTAAGTTGATTGAGCATTGAATACTTTCCTGGGATATACTGATGTAATAGGATCATGAAGTCATAATTAATAATATATTATTTATTTCTTTATTATTTCAGTAAAACTGTAGCGAACAATAACAACTCTGAGTGCATAAACATGGCGACCACTGGTCCAGTTGCATTGAGCTCTGATATAGTGGACAATAAATACTCTGAAATTGACTATCAAACTCCCCCTCCTCCTCCCCCACCTATGCCTGCCCCATATCCACAGAATGATTACATTGTACCAATACCGGTGGACTCAAATTATGAAGAGATGCCAAACCAAAGTGACATGTATGATTTCCCGCCACCCCCGCCCCCACCAGTTCCACAGGAGAGTTATGGTGAGACTGACGACCTACCTCCACCCCCACCCATGGCTGATGTTAACTTCCAAAATATTGCAAATATCCGAGAACGCTTCCTACAGCAAGAAAAACAACTTGAAAAGCAGAAGGAGAAGCAGGAATACAGACGTTCTGCACCGATAATATCAAATTCACCCGTTAATAATGATGCTGGGATGTATGATGCGCTCCAGCCAGCAACACGGATCAAAGACACTATATCCCAGCTTCAGTCTCGGAACCCCGGTGGAACAAATGACACCACCGTCCAAAAGCGAATGTCATCACCAGCATTTCTTCATATGGACCAGAACCAGGTAGTGAACGGCCGCACGAAAGTGGCACCTCCTCCAACTCCTAAACGCAATCCTGACACAAGGTTGAGTATGGTCGATATGTCGGCTACCTCGCATATAGCTGGGGGTCGAATACCTATAGTTACGATACCTGAGGGTATTCCAACAAACTTTTCGAACATACCTCCACCCCCATCAGAACCAGCACCAAAACCGCCAAGCTTTCCACCACCAGGTAGACCAAGTTCTACGGCATTCACCAATGTTCCTCCCCCACCAAGTATACCTGCACCCATGCCCCCACAAGCGCCAGCATATGTCCCACCACCTCAATTCAATGCTTCCATGGGACCACATGCCCCTACTCCACCAGTTGCACCAACATTCCCAGGCGGTATGTCAGTTCCTCCTCCACCGCCAGGACCAGCACCGGTTCCACCAGTTGAATTTGCACCAGTAGGTGTTCCACCACCACCCCCACTGGGAGCAGGTCCTCCAGCACCACCGCCTCCCCCACCACCAGGGTTTGGCGGACCGACTGTACCTCCTCCACCTGTAATTGGTGGCTTCCCAGCAAGATCTCAGGCTCCAAGAACACATACACAACCCTCTGCAGGATTCAACATCAGTGACATCACAAAGATACAGTTAAGACCAGCACAATTCACAGGTATGCCATGTGATCACTTGGCTGACCAATCAGCACATTTAAACTGTTATGTTACCATGCAATATTACAAGATTAACATTAAAGTAATCAGGAATATATTTACATGTTTTTATCCTTTTAAATTTTAAGATGTTTATTAAGTTTTAAATTTATTTTGTGTGCTTTTTTTCCTCTATGACTACTTCTATTGATTCGATTGTTATTGTTGTACTTTAATTTGTTTACAAATTGCCATAAAGGTTACTTTGAATTTGAATTTGAATATTGTAATGCGATCAAATTCAGCTATTGGCTGTTGATTGTAAAGTATATACCTGAATAAATGAATTATATTCAGTAAATTTGAAAATAGTTTTTATGAGATATCTTACTGCTTTTTACTATCACAATAATGACGTAATGATATTAATAACGATGACAGTAATCAAAATAAAATAACAATACTTTGTGCTAAAAATGAGAGAAATAAAGGGAAAAAATAAAAGTTATTATTTTCATTTTAAATATGACATATACAGCAACATGCCCTAAAAAAAATCATGTTATTTGTTCAAACAAAAACAAAGGTTTTGTATCTCATATTATATTTTTCTCCATTTTAAAAAAATTATCTATATTTGATATTAATAATTTGTATAGAGGCATTGTGCAATATGCATAATACATAACATTATCAATTTTTAAATTTTCATTGATTTATTTTTAACAGAAAGAGTAGTGTCATCAACACCGGTTGATTCCATATGTGATGAAATTAATAAAGGGATAAAGTTAAGACCAACTAAACCAAGTAAGTTTAAAAAAGTTTTAGTTCTAAAATAAGTTTTAGATAAACCTAATTAGTCAGCTTATAACTGATGAAATCAATACAAACCGGAAGGTAATGGTATTCATACTGTAGTTACTGCTTTGTATCTGCTAATCAGTGCAATGTGTTTTGCACAGGTGCGGCGCCGTCGGGGAGAGCTGTTCCCAACTTCCCCGCACTCATTTATAATTGCCCTCATTCAACTTGGGGTGCACACTCATCAATGAATTCCCTCAGTTAAAGTTGGGTAAAGACACTCATTAGTAAGTGCCCTCATTCAACTTGGGGTGAGGCACTCATCAGTGAGTTCCCTTATTTAAAGTTGAGTAGAGACACACACTAATAAGTGCCCTCATTCAACTTGGGGTGGGCACTCATCAGTGAATGTTACCATGCAATACTTATTTAAAGTTGAGTAGAGACACACACTAATAAGTGCCCTTATTCAACTTGGGGTGAGGCACTCATCAGTGAGTTCCCTTATTTAAAGTTGAGTAGAGACACACACTAATAAGTGCCCTCATTCAACTTGGGGTGAGGCACTCAGCAATGAGTTCCCTTATTTAAAGTTGAGTAGAGACACACACTAATAAGTGCCCTCATTCAACTTGGGGTGGGCACTCATTAATAGATAACAGTCAATTTTCCAAATGCCAAAGTTTACGTAAGATACTTCAAAAATAACATATCTATAAATAGTATTATTATTGCTTTTTTTAATTATTATTATTATTACTGTTATTAATATTAGTGACAGATTAATGTGCTATTTAACAAAATAATTTGATTGTGTATGCACCACAAACTATGTACATAAAAATTGTAAAAGCTGTAGTCAGTGGAGCATTAGCCTTCAAGGATGAAGTTTGCTCCTAAACGGAAGAAGAGAAGATATATAAATAAATAATATTTTGTTACCTTTTATTCTTATTAGACATCAATCGAGGACCGGGTGCTCAAACTAACAGTAATCAAAACAACGGAATTCCCCCACCTCCGAATGCACCAGCCCCGATACCTCCAGTCCCTCCACCGCCATTCGGCCCTGCTCCAACTCCACCAGTGATTGGAAAGCAGTCCTCTCCTCCTGCTCCAAAGACTAAGCCCAAGCCAGCAGCAGCAACTAAAGTGAAGCCAGGCCCATCATCACCGGTGCAGAAAACAGTACCAGAGGAGTTAGTGTTTGATGAAAGTGTACCAGTATGGAAACAGGCGATGCTGGCTAAGAAACATGCTGATGCTAAGGTAGGCCTACCTCATTTCATTTGCATATATACAAATATAAAAAAAAATAAATAAATCATCCAGATCTATCCAGTGAAGCTGATCACTTGAAACTTGGAAGTGGAATTAGTTTTGTGAGAAAATCATAACATTTTGATCAGTATGCACCCAGTGTTCAAGAGGTGGCCGTCTGTTATCCCATACCTCCAATCTGATGAAAACAATGATGTAACAGTAATATCGATAATGTTGTTGATGGTGGTAATGAAAGATAGTGTTTGTGACAATAATGACATTATTAATGGTGCTGGTGATATTGATGGTGTTAATGATCATGGTGATGCTAATTATGATGACAATGGCAAGTAAATCTTAAATTTATTTTTTGATGATTATGCAGAAACTTGAGGAGGAAGAACAAAGAAAGAAACAGGATGAAGAAGATAAATGGAAAGGCATTCCAGATTGGAAGAAGAAAATCATGATGGAAAAAGAAAGGAAGCGCTTGGAGGAAGAGGCATCTAAAATTGATCCAGTGGAAGAAGAGCGAAGAGCAAAATTAATGGCAATGCCAGCATGGAAGAGGGATCTATTGTTAAAAAAGCAAGGCAATGGGGAGTAACAAAACCTCTTAGAAGAGCAGACATGTGGAGTAAAGAAACTTACGAGATGACACCTTTATATGACATAATGGTGGCCTTGAATTGTTTAAGATGTCCACACTGTCATTGTTAGCGTCAAACATATCAGTATGGTGTCAATTTACAGAGATGTTTTTGGAGAGGTTTTTGGTACCAGCAATCATGAATTAACACTTCTTCCTCAGTGATATCTCCGAATGAATCATCTATGAAGCGTTACCTGCATACATTCTTCCATGTTATCAGTAATTGTCAACTGTAAATGCTTTTGTTAAACATTATTACAGTAGCCAACTATGAGTGTATCTGTAATGTACATTAATGATGTCTTGATGTTGGTGGCGCTGTTTACTTTGTAACCGCAGTGCACAATGTGAAAGCTGATAATACTGTAGAGGCTTCTGTAGGCTCATTATAAGTAACATTTTTGCTATTGTGCCAAGTCAATTATTTTATATTTCATTTTAAAAAAAATAAGCCAATTACAATCCATAAAACAACATTTCTAACCAATCAGCAGCAGCAACTCAAAACAGAATCAGTAAACCTACAAAAAAAATTCAACAAACAAAAACATTTTCTTGCAAGCGATTAAAACCCCTTACAGCATTACACTTAATATGTCCGATTAAAAACTGAATTGCATTCTGACCAGTTTTTTTTATGAAAAAAATCATATCCTATAGATTTCTAACAGTATTATTTTTATAATTTTGTTATTTTTGTATTATTAACAATAGTAATATTTACAAATTACAAATGTATAAATAGAGTCACTATCTGCAGAAGATGGTTTAGATATTGTATTAATTTTTTAAATTTTATATTTCTGTTTGGTAAATTTAAAATATAATACTATTTTATTATTATTATTCGAGTCGAAAGAAGCATGCAAGAACCATTGAATATCAAATCATTGTAAAAATGAAAAAAAAAATTGTATGCGTTTTTGAAGTATTTTAGATAATATAATTTTTGTATATTAAATTCTCATCTCATTTTTGTAATTGTTTCAAGATAAGCACAAAATTATGTTTCATTACTATATATGAGAGGACGGAAAATACTGCATATCAATCCCACTAGAATTTCAATAATAATTTTTTGTTTAATCATTGGCAGGGTATTATGTTTGTGAAACATATTGAATAATAATGACTTTTTCATACACTTTGTCTTTCTTTATATTTATATATAAATATATATTTATATATAAATATATATTTATATATAAATATGCTTTCATTTTCTTTGAACTTGGAAGCTGCAAATCCATGTACGTTCAAGCGAAAATTAAAAGATACCATTTTAATAGATTTCTGAAAATTTCTATATACAGTAATCATGTTTTATAACTTCCACTGTGTTTATATTTGGTTTCGCTTGTATTTTTTGAATACGCCTTTGAAGTACTTTTTTTATTTATTTTATTGTATACATCAATGTACAGTTTAATGTTCTTGTTATTCAAAGGTATGAACATAATTAGATAGAACATTTTTATTTTAACATCAAAATGGTTTGTTACTGCAGTTTTAAAAAATAGAAAAGATTTTAAGATTTTAAAAGCTGTAATTTTGATATTTGAGACAATTCTTAATTATATTACATAGATTTTGTCCTTATTCTTGTATATATTATTGTACCGTATTTGAACTGAGCAATGAAATTATTGTAATATTCATATTAAAAGTCCATACATTAATAATGTGATAAACTAACATTGCAGTCTTTAAAATTTGCAACTTTACCGAAACATTGAGTCAATGTAAATAATTATATACTCTCTGCTTTTGTAATAAACTTTGAACAGTGAAGATCAATAACTGAAATGCTGGGTATATTTATGGGTTTCAATTAAAAATTAGAACAAGCAAGTATGTTCTCCAACAGGCAAACAAGTAATACTGTTCCTATATTTTGAGCTATGCTAAAAATGTGAAAAAGCAGCAATATTTTAATTGCCTACTATGTATATTTAAGTAAGTTATCAACTAAGTTATCAAATTTGAACAAATAATTGTTTGTTTTGCCAATTAACAGACAAATAATAATGTTGGTACATGGTGTACCGCAAACATTTATATATTAATGTTGGTATTGCTTGCATTGGCCCTTCAATTGGCTGGTAATAAATTTAAGAATTTTTTATACAATAGTAAGTAAGTTCTGTAATTTTTTCAAAAGCATTTGATAACTAATTTGATCGTTTTAACTAAGCAAATAAATATTAGGTAAATTTTCTTTGATTCTAAAGCCAAAAGTAACTAATTGTTACATACTTCACTGGTCATCTTCAGGTGAAGAAAATTTACCTAATAATATATCGGAAGCCAAATGAAATAATTTGAACACAGTAAATAAATGTTTTGTGATGTTTTAGGGGTTTCCATAATTCACAGATGGTTTATTTTAAAAACAGTGTTCTTCGATTGTTCAAGCACAACTATAAGTTCATACCACTTGTCCTATTTACACTGCTGTAAAATATTTCTTCAGGTAAATTTTCTTTGATTCTAAAGCCAAAAGTAACTAATTGTTACATACTTCACTGGTCTTCTTCAGGTGAAGAAAATTTACCTAATAATATATCAGAAGCCAAATGAAATTATTTAAACATTTAAGCAAATAAATTTTTTGTAATGTTTTAGGGTTTTGCATACTTCACCACATATGCTTTATTTTAAACTATAAGTTTATACCACTTGTCCTATTTACGCTGCTGTAAAATGTTATGGAATAAGTCAATGCTTGTACTAAATTTAATTTTAAATTAAACCGCTGAGAATTCTGAAGTGCTGGATATGAATCTGCTATTTTTTCCCCTCAGTATTTTATCTTTAAATTGCTCTTTGTATCAATTCACTTTTGTATAGCTGTTAAAGATTGGATATCTCCTATAAATTTAAGTAATGGTGACTGCATTCTGTAAAATTTTATATTTTAAAGTATTAACGAAATGTTTTGACTTTACACAGGGTTATAAAATGGGCCAATGGCCAGTGCTGGACACTGACGATATTTAGAAAATGCATTAAAAATTCCCTAACAAGCAGCCAGATTATTAACAAAAATAACATTAATAGTAAAGGTAATACAAGAAAAGTATTGTGTACTTATAGGTTTAAAAAAATACATTAACATAAGTACAGGTATTAATAACAATATTAATAGAATTGCATCTGTAAGTTTTAGCTATAAAAGAATCAAAGCTCTTAACACTATTTACTCACAAACACTGGATACATAGTAGCACACACACATACAACAGTCTATTTTATTTATATCCTTAATTGTAATGCATTTTCTTTTAATGTTTTCATATTTATTTTAAAATATTACTATTCAAAGTAACATTTATATAGTTTTCATATTTTTTTTATCCAATTTTGTTATTAATGTGATAATCAGCTTCACATTATGCATTTAAATGTTAATGTAACATAAAGGCCAGAATTATTATGCAATGGTTATCATTTATGTTAATTCCGATCCTGCATTGCTATTGGCTATAATGTATCTTACACCAATTAGCTTTTTTGTCTTTCATATTAGAGGCAAGTATGCTCACCGAGACCATGTTCTTAAATATGTATAGTACAAGAGGGAGGGGTGAAGTGAATTTTTTTTAGACAATGACAGTATCGTGGTGTCTTCAGTATTTTAAACTACGTGTATGTATCGGTGGGATAGAACTTACATTTTTTTATTGGTTTTTTGTTAAGATAAATTGTAGAAACCATAATGTGTAACATGGTCTGTAACTGCCATGATGGCATTAAAGATAAAAAATGAAAGGAACATAAAAACCATGTCTTGTGGATTTATTTTTTGTATTTATACAAATATAGAAATGTAAACACAATTATAGAGCTTTGTTTTATTGTAGAGTGAGTATTCCCTTAAACTATACAATTACACATCATGCCCCCAGAGCAAACTCTCTGACAAAGACTAAAGGAGTCAACCCACACTCGGACTGCAAGCTGAAAAGGGACATGAGTCATCTAAGACCAAGTCAGCAGGCCAAACCAATAGCACAAAAACAACAACAAGAAGATAGTGCTCTTTGTGATTTTACGCATAACAAGCACCACTGTTCTTTAAAAAGAAGCATAAAAAGCAAAGATCTTATAATTACAAGATCGTGTTCTCCGAGTGCAACTTCTGTAACAACGCAGTGTAGGGCGCCATCACGCAAAAATGATTAACTTTTTAACTTTGTCATCAAAGATCGTTAACTAAAAATAGCACATCTGTAACACCTAGGACACCCTCCCTAAAAAATGATTACTTTTTATGCTTTTTTGAACTAAACTTCGGCATTTCTATTTGATACACGTAAATTTTGGACAGTGCTATCTTGTAATCATAAGATTTTTGAAAAAAAAAAAATTGAGAAAGGTGTTCTACTTGTTACTACGGTTGTACAGAATTTGCACGCAGAAGCGTCAGAAAAGTAGTTGAAAGATTGTGAACGTTCTCATGAAATCACTACCTGTGTAAACGTAGTCTAAAATGTTTGATTATCTCTTCACATGAAGTCCAATAAGGTTATATTATACCTTGCATCAAGTGAATTGGTTGCTCAGAATCGTAGGGTTCAGCATTATACATTAAACAATTATGTTGCAGAGTTGAACATCATGCAACAATCAATAATTGTGTATTGTTATTTTTGTCCATATTTCAAATATATTAACATCAGACCAAAGGCACTTCAGACCAAAGGACCTTCTGAGCAATGCACTGACCCCGGTAAGAAATGTATATAGAGGTCATGAAAACTATGGTAAATCATGTATATTAGAATGAAAGAGTAATATTTTTAATGAGTTGTTTGTTCAGTGACGGATTTCCCAAAGCAATGTTGATAAGTAATGTGAATTCACGTTCCCCCCCCCCCCACTTTACTATGGAAATGTAAAGTGTTAACCCTATAGGCCCTTACAGTTGGGAGTCCGGCGCTATTATCGCCGTCGTCACATTTTCAATGTACACATTCAGACAACAGTAATTGTCTATAATCTATATGATCGGTACATTCTCGACTGTCATGAAAATCTAATATATCCAAAAAATTACATTTATGTATGCACCGAAGTGGGAAGTTTAACCTAAAATTTAGATATATGTTTCCTGTTGTTTCTTAAATGGTCTTTAATATGACCACAACATAAGGAAGTCCACCCTTTAACTTCTAAACAGACCACTTTGTCATGTATTGCACCTACAAACCCATATACATTTACATTTCCTTAGGCCTAAATTACAAGGAAGTTCACCCTTCAAATGTTTAGCATAGACAGTACAGAGAATTTTGATTGGCTATTGATCTCATTTATTCAAATTTCAGGAAATCAAGTTTTTATGCATGCACCAACGTGGGAATTTGTTGAATGGTCTTCTTTAATAACCACAACATAAGGAAGTCCGGCCATTCTTTAAATGTTTGGGATTACGGAGAAATATGATTGTTTATCAATACACGTTAGATCCAAAAAAATTGTTTTATGCACTGACGTGGGAAGTTTAACCTAATAATCTTAGTTAATAATATTAGTCTAAAATTCATCTTACGACCACAAACTGTAACTTATTCTTAAAGAAAAACGAATACTGTAATGCAATTCTTTCAATAATTTTACTCTGAGCAAAACCAAACTTGGTCCTACATAATAATACAGTCCTCTTCAATTAAAAACTATTAATCATACTGTTTTACCCATTCAGGATGAAACTAATTGCCCAAAACAAGGTTGTCCCATAGGACACCCCTCCCAAGCCCATTCCATTTACTTCACCTATTACAACTGAACTGTTAACTCTGTTAACTGTGTACTGTTAATTCATTTGATTTGAACAAGAACAGCTACAAATTTTGGGAGGGGGCTGGGTCTGGGAATTATTATTTTTATACCAATCATCAATCATAATCAGTAAAGTCTTAAGAGCCTGTGTATGAAGATTATCAGGCCTATGGAATAGAATGGTGAAGAGAGGAGAATTTTCCAGTAGAGCGGAGCCTATTGATGGTTAGCAGAAGACAAAGCCACAGACAAAGATATACTGTATCTATGTGGTGCACTCCCAGTGGAAAAGATAGAAAGGAGAGAAGAAATAGACGCTTGTGCTAGCTAGATTATCAGTGCCAGTCAGTGATCTGAACATCACCAGCAGAGTAAATGTCACCTCCTGTGGTGATGAAAGCATTGAACTGAAGACCGTCATCCTGAGAAAGACCCTACGACTTCTGAGGTAGCAGTACCAAACAACACGTCTATTTACATGGTGTAAATAGATGCATAATTTTTGTGGACTGTGCGAGCTCATTAAGAAAATTAATTTATATTGTGTAGGGAAATGAACGTAATATCGTGGGATGTATTTTTCTCTTAAATCACTGTATAATTTACATTTGAGAAGAAAATATAATTCATCATCAATACCCCCCTACAAGAGCAAATTCTATTTTTAAGTTAATATTTAACTTTCTACCTTCCTCGGTTTTTAAGTTGTTGTAGCTAGAAATGCAGAATGAAGTAAAGATCTTTTTGAAATATGGATTTAAATTAAAAGAAAGGTAGTTTTTAAAAGCAATACAATAATTCAATGAACAGTAAATTTTTAATTTGACTCGTTAACATATGCCACCCATTCTTCTTGTTCAGTATCTAAAGAACGTTGTTTAAAAAAATTTAGAAAACAAATATCATCACCAACCCCTTGGTTAAGCCATTCTTCCCCGAACCCATAATGGAATAGAAGTGAAAGGGACTGAGTTAGCCCAACAATTTTTATCATTATCAACAAATCGAAGCAACAGAGAAGATTATTATTTGTGAGTGCACCCTCTAAAGTTTACAAAGAAATGCTATATGATTTGTTATAAAAGTGTGCAATGCCAGGCCTATTCTTGTGGGAACATCTATATCTAAATCTCAGTGGTCTCTTTGGCAAAGGCAAAGGGAGACTTGCTGAGTTTCATTGCTTTTTTAATACAAATTTTCACAGTTTATTTGTCAGAAGTTGGATCCAACCAACGGACGTGGTCAGTAAGCATTATAGCTGCTGTATCATACGCTCAGTAGTTCCACAACAGGGGTTGAATTGACCCAGAGCACTGGGGTACCCCTTATTCTTCCGAAAAATGCACTGGGTTCTTAAAAATACATACAAGCTAGATTTGCACACTAGGACTCCTGTTTGAGTGAGAAGGCATGGTTCTAACCAACCAAATCATGAGCGTATAGTGTGCAACACCCTACCTTGCTGATCAACAACTCAAGGGACCCTCCCCCGCAACTGCAAACATAATTAAGCTATAGCTTAAAAAAAAAAATTGTATAACAATACTGAAATCCACCCAAAAATAAAGATGTAAGGAAATTTAGCTTTAGTGGACATCAACTTGTAATAATACTGTTAACATGTCTTCGGATCACCGCTATGTCCTCCGGTCCAATTGTACAGCAACCACCTATGTACCTAGCGCCCAGCTGGATCCATTCTGTTACGTACGCCTGCCAACTGGAAACTTCACGCTCACCAGTCCACCTGTGGCAATAAATATTTAAACAATTTTTTACTGATTGATAATTATTATTTTTCATTAGGAAATTTAGATTCACATTTTTTAACTATTTAGACTAATTTAAAAACAAACATGAAGAATTACAATCTTTATTTATTGGTTTTATTTCTTTGCTAAAAACTTTCAACATTCTCCACTAGGCTGTAGAGGGGACAAATCAACATCATCTTACCCAGAGCCTGTCCACTTCTCTCCTGAATTTGGAAGCACAACAAATGGTTTTCCATTGGTGGCGCTCTTTGCACTTTGAAGCAGTGGAGCAATAAATGTTGGAGAGCAGCAATTTGCACCAACTGCTACAATATTAGGACAAGAGGAAACCATGGCAACTGCTTCTCGAAAAGATTCTCCATGGCAAATTCTGGCTTCATCCTGAAATCAAATATAATCTACAATTGTTGTTATTGTCATAAAAGGTTATTATCATTTATTATCTCTAATTATTTTATTATTGAATTATATCTAAATAATATATACAAAACATAATGTGTAATATGGGCTCACACACTAATTTTGGTAGGAGAATAACCCAAAACTTGAAGTGTAATTGTGCAGAATTGCGTATGGACGTGGTCCGTGCTTACAAGCCGCTGTAAAGAGGCGCTCATAGTAGCTAGATGTTCACATCATTCCACGACAGGGATTCAAATGAGCCATAGCTTCAGGGTAACCCCCTACTCTTCCAAAAGATGCAATGGCTTCTTTAAAGTGCACATGAGCCAGATGTATACACTGGACCTCCATTTTGAGTTCTATCCAAGCAGACGGTTCTACCAACCCAACCCTGCACGATGAGCAGCTCGGGGTGTAGGCTGTAGTTAGCGGTGCCCCTGCCATACCACTCGACTCACTAAACATGTGGGACATGCAATGTTTACTTACTTTACAGGAAAATGCTAGCCATGCCGTGACATCAGGGAACTCTGCTAAGAGGGAAACTATTGCTTTGGCTTCTTTGGTAGCTGGGATTGTATCAATTGCCAGCATTTTAATGCCAGAGTTTAACAGTGCTTGAAATCTACTCCTGTGCCAGTTTTTCAGGTCCTATCAAATGAAGTTCAATTAATCAATCAAATCAATAATCAATTAATCAAATGAAAAAGGCTTCTGGCCACATCGCCGACAAATAAGACTTAAACTCTTAAAATGTATACTAATAATATAATAATAGTAGTAAAAAAAAAGCAGTACAAGAGACAGCGGTTACAAACATGCTTTCTAATCCAAATTCTGTAAACAATGACAATGATAAACCAAGGTTATAATGTGAGAGTTTTTGAGTTGGGTTTGAAAAGTTTGATGCAAACAATGTAGCAGGAGAATGTTCCAATATATTAAGGAACTCAAAAGAAAATTTTTGCTTGACTTACATACTACAGCTGTAGGAGTGTTAGGTGCAGAGGGAGGAGTAGGAAGTAAAATGGACTTGTCTGTTGGGATTAGCAGACTATCAAGCTTAGTTACTGGTTATAATGGTTTAGTTGATGCTGTGTGGGTGTGGGTGTGTGTGTGTGGGTGGGTGTGTGTGGGTGTGCATGCAACCATAGCACTTCTAAGAACCTTGGTTCAATTCTATTATACCCTTTTCAGGCAGAGCTGCAAAACGGTATTAATACCGTATTTCTTGAACGCCAGCGTTCTATGTGAAAGGGTAAATATGCCTAAACGCCGGCTTCAGTTAGACCTCCTCGGGACCTAGTCTTAATACCGCATTAATACCGATGCAAGTTTTCAAGTAGCAAGTTCATCGACGTCTTACGCACTGAGGCATAACAAATCAGACTGTCACACGAGCAGCCAGCCATCAACCGCTGCTGCAGCTCACAAAGCCGATGAAGTCGCTAGCTGACGGATCTTTAGATGCAAAAATCGCCTGTACCTAGCTGCTCGAAACGCTTCCTAAGTTCTTTCTCCACTTGAACGAAATGCATTAGAAACTTTCTGTTTCTCAAATTTATATGTACTGCAAACATAGCAAGCATTAAAAAACATTTGCAAAGCAGCAGTTGTAGGACTTCATCTCCGGCCATACTGGATTAATGGAGTAAACCAAAAATTGCGCCCTCTTTGTTAACAAGCACAAGCGCCACAGACATCAAATACTCCTTTCTGCGAGAACCCTCTCAGACAGGATACGGTATTATTACCGGATTTTAACTAGCTGTGTGAAAGGGTCTGCGCGGGCAATAACGACGGCGTGATTAGGGTATTATTGCGGTATTTTCTGTCAGGAAAGGGGCTTTGGTGTTTTCCTTTGGATTGGAGAGCAAGTTACTAAAGTACACTATTAAATGTGAATTCCATCTCTCCCAAACTGATAGATACATACTACTGCATACATACCTCAACTGTCATACTGTCAACATAGTTGCCATGGTACTCTGACGAATCATGTTGGCACGCTCCATATGGACCAATGGAACCAGCTACAACTGGTTTCAACCTGTCTATAAAATTTACAAAAAGAAAAACAAGAAAAAACATATTATATAAATATACATCCTTACAAAAAAAGGTAAAGGTAGGAGAATAACCCATAACTTGCAGCGTCATTGTACTGAATTGCATATGGGCGTGGTCTGTGACTACCCAACAGTCACAAAGAGGCGCTTCATGGTAGCTACATGTTCACATCATTCCACAACAACAGGGGCTGAAATTAACCATAACATCAAGGTAACCCCCTACTATTCTGAAAGATGCAATGGGCTCTTTATATACAGTACACTTTGATACAAGTCATAAATTGGACCTAAGGCTGAAATATATGTGAACCACAGCAATCTAGGGTATATAACATGGCTGCTTTGCCATAAAGCAAATGCCACCCACACATTTAAACAGTATCTTGTCAACAGAACATTTAGACATCCTCATAATCAAACAAAAACATCAATTAGGCCCACTCTATTGACCATTGACACTAAAACACTCACTGTCATGTAAAGAAATCTTACTTTTCTCCTCAGTTGGTTGCCTAGCAGTCCAGTATTCATTAACGGCCTCGATAGCAATCTCTCCTGCTTGATGGATCAGGTTGAGGGCCTCCTCCTTTGACAGGCCAGCATGAGCGATAAAACCTTCAACACTGGCCTACATTTAACAGACAATGTTGGAGAGTTGTGATACAAGATCATTTAATGAAGGTGTTGGCAATATACATGTATAAGAAAGTATTGCTCACGACATACATTAAAGAAATAAAAAATGTATAATATTAACAGGCACATAACCAAGAAATTGTTATGGTTCAACCAAACCCGCTTTTTAAGCTAACCTAATCTGGTAAACCAAAGTACCCCTTCCCTTTGCATCAAAAGCCATCAAAACGATGTTGACGTTAACCATTTATATGCTAAAATGCTTCACAGACCCCCTAAGGGTGCTCTTCTCCTTCACTCAACTGGAGCTCCCAGGCACCTCTGTACCACTGGCTCTCATAATAAAACCTGTTTAAAGAGGTTACAGGCCTACATTTGAGCGAGCAAAATGGCCGAGCGGTTAAGGCAGGGGAACCGTGATCATAGCCAACAATATCCGCAAGGGTTCGCGGCCGGCTCGCTCCGATAGTTCTGGTGGTGGAACAAGTCTTCTCGGATAAGGACTATAAACCGTAGGCCCAGTGTACATAAATGCTCATGTGCACTTTAAAGAACCCAGTTCATCTTTCGAGATGAGTTGGGGGTTACCCCGGTGTACTGGTTTACTCGGCCCCTGTCATGGACAAATGAAAGTGCGCCGGTTTACTGACTGCAGAAGACATGAAGTGACCCTCAGGGGAGGAGAAAGTTAGTTATTGAAAAGTGCAACATCTAGTCCCGAGCGCATAGAGACCTCTTTTATTTGCGCTATATAAATCCATCTATTATTATTATTATTACAGAACTCACATATTGAACTCACAATTCCTGTCAGTGTTGCAGGAATTTTTCTCACGACCAAAACAACTCCACTCGATAAATCTCATATTGAGATTTAGTTTGTGTAAAGCATCGTGTGTGTATGTTTGTCTTGTGAAAGGGATTGTCACCTACAAGTAGGACAGTGATATATTCGCTATTGGCAATCCTTGGAACATGTATTTTGTGCCTAAATAAATAATAAATAAATAAATAAAATAAACTAGAAACTTTCAGCATTTCAGCCCCCCAGGTAAAACACAAGGAGAGAAGCAAAGAAATTACACCAGGGACTCAGAAATCTTATGTTCTTGATATACTGGAAATAATGTATTAAAACTGTTTTTACCTGGTAAGTATTGGTCTCAATGATATCAGATCCAGCTTCCAAGAATCTATGTGTGATATAAAATCATCATATAAAATCATCATTCATTAAATCCACAATCACAATGACCAGTGAAAGGAACTGCGCTTTATAACCGCAAGGAAGAAGCGCATTATAAATGCCCATACCAGTACAAAGAGCATAACGCCCACATATTTGCCAAAATGAAATACCTGTAGATTGGGTAGCTGAGTTTGAATATACAGGGGATAAAGATGAGATCAGCAGCACATTACAGAGTAATTAACACACTTAACATTTACTTCACAACCGGCCATCAAGCAGTAAACTTCTTCGGGTAAAGACATTTCTCAGTAATATGATGTTTAAATTTAACAACTTGATGATGCCTTGTGGTTTAAAGTATGTTGCTATTTAAAGTGCTGTCTATCTTGTCTTTATTTTAACCGTTACCATAACCATTTAACCTTAAGAAAGACACAAACACTCAAAAAGTATAATACATACATACAAGTATTGAAATACTTGCCATTGTTTTGGGATCCAATATTTCAACATTAATTATGTCATAACGTAATTAATTTTGAAATATTGAAACCAAACACGATGGCAGGCATTTAGAAACTTGGGAGTATGTACTACTATACACAAAGACTCTGTATTAGACTTTTTATTGCTTTGTTTTAGGACCCTGTTGCAGTTACTGCATGCAAAAACTACGTCCTTGATTCTATATATTTAATAAATAGCCTACGATAGTACGATATTAAACACACATAAAATAAATAAAACGGAGAAAAGTAGATGGATGGACAAAATAGTGACTCTACAACAATGTAAAAGCCATCAATAATTCTAAAAATAAAAAACAAATATCATTAATACCTTTTATGAATGTGTTTTATGTCATCTTGGTTGGAAAGCAACAACCTAGCATTCCACAGAGGATCATCCTACAAATAGATTGAAATTAAAATATTAAAGCTTTTCACACAGCGTGAATTTTCCAAATTGTAACTGACATGTCTATTTTTAGTGATATAGTTGAAGACTATATAGATCACACATTATTTCAGAGACAATAACAGTCTAGAAAATTTCATAGCTTTGTTTTTTTTTTTTCATGACCAAAATTAATTCCACTCCCGAGCCCGTAAAAGTCTTGTTTTTGTACTGTGTTTATTAAACTTTGTTTTCGAAAGATTTTCATAGAAGGGCAGCAATATATAGAAACAAAATGTTTTACCAAATGCATTAAGGCAGTGGGGAAAATCAAATATAAAATTTTATTGGAGTTACTATTAAAAGAGTTCTCGCAATCACGGAAGCTCCAAGGAGAAAATCAGTGGCCGAGCGGTAAGGCAGGGTGACACTAGCAACAGCATTAATATTGGCTCGGTTCCAGCCGTTCCTCGCCCATGGTTTAGTTGGTAGAACCAAGTCTTCTCGGATAAGGACTTAATGCAGGTCCTGTGTATACATCTGGCTTGTGTGCACTTTAAAGAACCCATTGCACCTTTGGAAGAGTAGGTGGGTTACCCCGATGTTAAGGTTCATTTCAGCCCCTGTCGTTGTGGAATGATGCGAACACTGTAGCTACCATGAAGAGCCTCTACGGCATGCTAGGTAATCACGGACCACGCCCATACGCAATTCAGCAGAATGATGCTGCAAGTTATGGGTTATTCTCCTACCATTGCCTTTAGTATATCTTTTTACCTTTATAATAGAGGCTGTAGAATATATTGGCCCTAATGGCTGCCCATCCAAAAAAGATCTATTAATCAATCAGAGAGCCCCTCATCAGAGCTAAAAATTCAATTCAAGTGCATGAGGAATAAAAGCAGTTGAGGGTTTCCTCAGACAATTGCTTGAGATCCCATTGTATTGCTGAAGGGTGGAGGCTCGTGCCTACCAGGCACTCCCACTGGAGGCTCGTGCCTCCCAGGCACTCCCACTAGAGGATCATGCCTCCCAGGCACTCCAACTGGAGGCTGGAGCCTCCCAGGCACTCCACTAGATGAGAGTTAATGCTCCTCTTTTCATCATAGAGCCCTCTCACTTAACCTTTACATCCCCTCGAGCCCCACCTCCCACTTCTCATTTTAATACACCTAGATACTCCACCCTGTACAATAATTTCATTCCACTCCGTACAGTAGTTTGATTCTATCAATTGATGGCACAGGCCTCCTTCCAATTGGATGTGGAAACATTTCAAAAGAAAAGTTACACTGAAAGGTCCACTGATTAATTTTAGATAAAATAGTATAATACATAGTCCAAGTATTGAAATTCACGCCATCGTGTTTGGATTAAATATTTCGACATTAATTATGTCATCATGATGACATTATTAATGTCGAAATATTGAATCCCAACACGATGGCATGAATTTCAATACTTGGAGTATGTATTAAACTATCTGAAAAGTTACACTGTGAAAGCATTACACATTACAGTACATACAATGCATTATATATCTACTTACATTTATTGCAAATCCTCTCTTCTCACATTCTGTTCCCAAACCACCATCTAAAATCTTTATATCCATCTATAATGAGAAGAAAGTATCTGTGATATTGTGTATTATATTACGGTATCTTTATTCAAGTAATTTGTACATAAAACAGTATTAGTATACAGGCAGGAAATCTCAGATACATTACATCAAAACAGCAGCGATAAAAATGTATTAATTAATAATTGATAATAATGTGTTCCGCGTTTCGAAATTAGGCCTGAGCCGGTTTTACGCAAATTTTGCGAATTGAGAGCTTGATAATTTATATAGCACAAGTAGGCACCAATCGTGGTCTTGACAACAGCTTTTTAACATGCAATAAGAAAAGGAATTCATTATTGAAAGGGATTGTCTCCAATTTAAATTAATGTTAAAATATTTGTTAAGATATTTAACATAGTAGTTATTAAATTATGGTAATAATAATAATAATGCTGCATTTGTAAGTACGTATTCATTATATGCTACTGCACTTTTTATTTTTTTATTTTATTTATTTATTCTGGTATATGATAAAATACAAAAAGCAGAGCCGGTCTGAAATTATTGTAGTACAAACATTCAAGATTACAAACAACAAAAATCAAATACATTCAAAAACACCAAATTACAAACACCATAATCATTAATAAATATTAAAAATAATAAACATACAATTCATTAACCTATAAATTAATTAGACTACAATATATATAAAGTTCATACAGTATAAAAATTTATATTTACAACTGCTTTAAAAAAATTAACTACTTAATTATTAATAAGTTCAATATCATTATTCATTGTTGCAATTATTATTAAAATATATTACTACTATTAATTTATTAACTATACACTTATTATTTTACCAAGTTTTTATCGTCATTACTTTTACAATATCTTTTAAATGATTTACTAATATATTTATCATTATTTTAATTACTGTTGTACACTGAAGTATATACTAAGTGTACGCCTATATTTTTGAGTCGCGTTCATTCACATTTATTACATTGTATGTTGTAGTATTGACAGATCCAATGTTTAAATCTGTTTGTGTCCTGAAAGACATATAAAATAAAGTTATTTATACATAATTGATGTCATGTAATGTCAGTAGAAGAATGTTTGTCAACATTACAATTTGATCTGAAAATATCTCGGGTATTGAGTTTCTAACCGAAACACTCTACCAACCACTTTCTTCACATTATAAAAATGTGAATCCTGGTCGTTTCGGCCTCATCGATTTAGTCGGGTTATTACGGCCCTTTTTGGGCCGAAACGACCTGGTTTAGAAGGACAAAACAACCCGGGTTAGAAGGCCGAAACGACCCGGGTCAGAAATGGTCACACCCTATTGTTTGTAAGCATTTCAATTGCGATTAACAGCTGCAATATTAAACGCCAAGTAAAAGCCTTGTAAAATATCATGACAATATTGGTTTTCACATATTTTATAAAACTCTCTCCAGTTAAGGATAATGATGATCACTTTTCACAAACTCGATCGCATTTACGATGATGCAAAATTCTAGCACTGCATGCGTAAAAACTACATAATTTTGGGCACGGTAGCTCAGGGTTGGTACAGCAGGTTTACAAAAGGGCCAAATGCAGCAGGCACAAAGGATATGTCTGCTTCACCTGCAAGAGTACCATGGGAACCTGTCTGTGGGCATTTCCAATTTTATCATAGTTTCCATGCAACAATAGGCCTTGTGAGTGAAACCTAATTATCAAAAGAAGCCTGAAACAGCCATGTATCTAGGCCTATAAATTGTATTTAAACTACATTTTACTATTTCCATTTATTTGTGTATTTTATAAACACTATCAAAATATGTATCGACAATGGAAATAAAAGAAACAAGAAAATACAAACCATGTGTCTGCTTCACCTCAACATAATTGTTGAAAACGTTTCTTTCCTCAAATTATACTCTAGTTAATGATTTCTTTAATTTCTATGCAATGAGTGATTTTGTCTGCCTTATGAAAATAAAAGAATCCTAAAACGGCAATTAAAATGTATATAATTATTGATAATTTTACATGAAAAAAATATAAAAATGAAAATAAAATATATTTGATCTATTTTCATTTATCACATCATTCAATATATTTTTGATTTATTTTATATATGTATTGTTATAAACAGAACATTGGTAATGTAAAGACGCAAAAAATGCACGCAACAAACTTATGACAAACTAATCCACTAAATTAACTATAATAGTATAGGCGCTAAGGCTACTTATTTTATAAATCTAAATTTTATTGACGCATTTATAAACATGATCCAAATATATATTGTATGGAAACGATAGAAAGAAACGTGTCTCCAAACCAATCGACTTGTAACATTTGCATTGTTTTCGTAAAAAGAAAGATAACACCATTTGATACTGTAATGAACTCTTTAATAATAATAATAATAATAAATAATAATATTAATAACATTAATAATAATAATAATAATAATAATAATAATAATAATAATAATAAAATACTACTAAAAATAATTGTTAATTTGGGCCTTGGCCTGAAGAGGATAGGTAAAAATAATTGTTAATAACTGATGATAATGTTGCAGTACTGCTTAGCCACCTTGTTCTATTAAAGTATTATTCGTGTCCGCACCTTCGGCGCTCCATACACTGCGGCCGAAAAGCATGACAAAAATACAAACAGGGCCGAAACGACCTGCCACACACACATTAACAACCTCATGATGCATGCGCCCTCAACATGCACTTTCTACCGTTATCATAATAAAATCATCTTGCTAAAGTATAACTAAATGGTTTAGGCCTAGGCCTACGTAAATTTCAACTGGTACATTTATACCTGCGGTACGTCGTAAGAAAGTAGGGTAGGACTAGCCCTAGGCTAGGTCTAGTTACTTACTGTTTGAGCACGACTCTGCCAACACTACTCCCTGCCATCCCTCCCTAGCCTAGGTCTTGCCTCTCTTTGAAAAAAAAATGACCTATCTGGATACGCCCCCAACGGCACGAAGTGTTTTGTTTACCGTGAATGAACTAATAATTTATACTCCGTCTCTTGTGCTTTTAATTCATCTTGTTGGACAGGAACAAACCAAAATAAAAAGTAAAAATAAACGTTGTTTAATGCAATTGATGGTACTTTGTGAATGGAAATATCCATCTTTGTCAAAATAAAGGGATACTTTAATCGGCATGACACTACTAAAACAGTGTATACTTAGTGGAGCAGAGGGGGTGACACGAGTATTTAGATGAGCAATTTAGTTGACAGACTTCATGCGGTCGGTATTGATTTTCTTTCACAGAGAACGGTTCAATGAGCGTGAGGGATTGTCGATTGTCTAACTAAAAACGGGTAGCTGAATTTGATGGAATGTGGTAGTCATTTTGTGGAATTTACTTACTTTATTTTAGTTTCAGAAATGAACACCTAATGCTTCAGCTTGTCAAGATCCCTAGGATATTTTATGTTTATGAAGAGTCTTAAAAAACTGCGAGTTGACGTGTCTACAGCAGTTTAAATCTCGCAGACAAAGAGAAAATATCGTCAAGAGAACCCTAAGGATAAGGTTCACACAACACAAGGCTCTCTCAGTAGTTGGTCGCGGGCACAGTATTCTACACAATGGCGTTCTCGACTTCTAGGCCCCTGCAATTTAATTTCGGATACACATTTGTTTTTTTAACTGTTTTTACTAATTTGATAGTAACGGCACAGACTGAGGCTGGCTGTGAAAATATCAGGAACATATACCGTCGCAAAGGTTTTAGCTTGAAAGATGTTCCAACCACAGCATTACAAGGTAAGTTCAAAGGACAAGTTATTATTTTTATTATTATTATTAGGCCTAATATAACTTTTGTCTGTCTCTGTGTGTGATGTGATAATGATACGATGCCAATGATACTGGCCTGCAGTAGTAAGTAGACCTAGGCTAGGCCTAGGCTATAGCATTACTACTTACTAGTGTCGCTAGGCCTACCCTAGGCAAATAGGCCTAGTACATAATATTGCAGATAAACTTACTGATAAGTCCTACTACTAGTACTACTACTACTAGGCTAGGTGTAAGATCTATGAGAATATTTGATTATTCCACTCAATTCTTCCAGATAGAGAAGGCAAGTCTTAGGCTACTTCTATTAGCAGTGTCATTCACTAGAACGTTTTAAGCAATGTTAATATTCCATTAAAGAAAAAAGAGAAACCATTTTTTCAGCTCCATAGTTATATTTGGATTTCCCCGCCAAACTAAGTCCTATGTCGTCAATAGTAGTAGCATTAATAATTTTATATGTAACAATGATTAGTACAAGCTAGGCAGTAAAAGTCAGAGACGAAGCAAATTTCAATAAGGTAAGCAAGGACAGGTACTGTATAGCATCGGACATGGGATAATCAAGAGGCGAGTCTCAAGGCAAGCCTTGCCTCGGGATATGACCGGTTGAGCCGCCGACAAGTTGAGCCGCCGGTAATTTCTATGGAACGCCAAGCGCGTCTCTCAGTGAATGTAGTGCGTCTCTCAGTGAATGTAGTCGGCTTGCCCCGGTTACCAGCTACATATTCATCCCACAGTCTTGTCAGTCGTTGATTTGCTCGTATTGCCGTTCGTGATGTATAAGTTGTGTAATTGAAAATTAGAATTTTAATTTTATGTACTACATTTTTATAAAAATAAATGAAGTTGTATAATTGCAAAATCGTATTAAACCATAGTAAATACTGTATAATAACATAGGCCTAACACATTTAAATTCATTGTTTATAGTCATGCAAAATCCTATTAAAAATGTAATAACTTGATTATATTTTACGTTTGGTTTGCCGCGTATTTCAATTAACTTATTCGTTATTTGTAATATTTTGTTAAATTATTTAATTAAATTATTTATTATATGTAAGTTTAACAAATAGTACAAAAATAGAAATATATAAATTATAAAACCATAGTAAATACTGTATAATAACATAAGCCTAACACATTTAAATTTATTGTTTATAGTCATGCAAAATCCTATTAAAAATGTAATAACTTGATTATTTTTTACGTTTATCTGGCAAGCTGACTGAGCAAATACTCACAAAATTTAAATTAAAATGATAGAAAGAACAAGTAAATAAATTGAAATACGTCCCAAATATATTTAATAAATTAGTGCAAAAACCGAGTATTAAATAAATTGAAATGATTGAGTAAATAAACTGAAATACATCCCAGACAACAGTACCAAGAAACGAATAAGTTAATTGAAATACGCCACATCAATTAACGCACTACATTCACTGAGAGACGCGCTTGGCGTTCCATAGAAATTACCGGCGGCTCAACTTGTCGGCGGCTCAACCGGTCATCATCCCTTGCCTCCTCCTATCTTGTATCACTTGTTGTATCATGCTCGTTTTACCAATTTGTGGTAAAAAAAAGAGGAAAGTTTTTTTTATTTTTTCATAAGGTCTAATGTACTATACCGTAGATTTGTATTCTACGATGTTAATTGATTAATAAATTTTGTTTCTTTGATCCCCCCCTCTCCCATCAACAACTAGGCAGTTTTGCTCATATTATCTTCTGATGTGTTCATAATTGACAGGCAAGCTGCATAGTTGACAAACAAAATTAATTTCAAATTTAAAAAATAATTTATAATGATTGATGTATTTGAGGCATACTAGAGAAATCAGTCATTTATGTCTACTGAAATATAACAACAACATTGTTATTATTATTATTGTGTTTCTGTCTTCTTTATATAGTGTATTGAATTAATTCTTATATTATTTATATTCATTTAATATTGTAGTTAAGTTGTATCTAAGTGGTGCCAAGCTTGATTACAGTAGCCCTGGCTATTTCTTGGTCACCATTTGTAATTTTTTCAAGGATGCAATAAACAGAGAACAAGAACACAAATGAATGTTTTAAGGTAATGACAACTTTAAGACATCTATTATGCTGACACTGACAGAATTTAAAAAAATCCAAGCTAATAAAAAAAAATATGTATCCATAAATAAATTTGATTGATATTTTCCATAATAAAATATACTGTAAAACTAAATGTCCTACAGTATTTGTGACTAAAATTCAGGATTGATACGATATACTAGGGAGACATTCATCATCATGCTCTTTTCATTAGCATTATTGACCTACCTGTCAGCTCATTCAATTCTTTACCTGAATCATCCTATAGGAATGTGTCATGTTGGTACCAAATACTCCAACTTGCTTTAAATATTCACCATTCATTTTAACAATTTATGTTTTTTATGTCAAAATTTAAAAAAAATATACATTACTTGTAACCAAAATACTGCAGTTAGTGAAAGTAATATTGATAAGTGATAAATAATTAATAATTTAATCTATATTCCATGTTGACTCATGATGATTTAATTAAGTAATGAAATTTACAGTATAGCGATAGTAATAAAATATCTTATTAATGTGGTACTGTTTTTCTATAGTTTTTAATTTTTTTAAAGAGAAACCTATTGTTCTCAGTCTGTCCACATGAACAGTTTGATTTTCCTATATATGGGTATGATGACATTATCGTGCCCATGGGCAAATCACATGTATTTGTCACTTAAAACTTAATAGTGGTGTGGACAAAGATAAAGGAATAAAATTATAAAGCAGGTGAAGAAATACATCACTATTACTATAGTATAGGACTTATTAAGTTACTCATTGGAAATTAAGCACTTGTTCCTAAAGTCTCAATTGTTGAGTTTTGCTGTTGATTGTCTTGTCTTCACATCTTCAATCCTCTTTACAAGTTTTCTAAAGAGTATGTTAGTACTCCTCCCACTCATAACATTGAGAAGATTCGTCATAGGACTATTGTTTTATTGAATAGAATTCTAAGCCAGTTTGGAAGCTTGCTAATGGCTTAAGCTTGTGACAATAAAGGCCATTTTGTCCAGTAACTGTAGGCATCAATACTTTTAAGAGCATACTATGGCTTCCTATTCTTTGATCCAGGGTGTGAAAATGATTTTGTGATAGTATAGAATTTCTTTAAATGAGAAATTGTAGAATTATGTTGGTTGTAATTAGCAAAATTAGAATAGTCAAATTAAAATCACAAAGGCCAAAGCTTGACATGCGCTTACAAGCCAACCTTAGTAGGATACAAATCAGATTTTAATAAAAATTAATTATTAAAAATAATAATACTAACAATAACAAATATTTATATAGCGCCAATTCAAAATTTATGAAAGGTGCTTAGTGAAAAAAGTTAACATTCCTGTAATAATAAATAAGTTTTCAGATTTTTCATAAAAAGAAAGCAAATTAGACGAATCACGAACAAAAAGAACAATATCAGAAAATAATTAGTATAGTGGCTGAAATATTTACATCACCACAGCTACAGCATTACCAAAATAAACATGAAAAAAATAAATTTTCTTGAACAAATCATTTCTCATCTTTTCTTTGCTGTTGGCGAGTCGCTCCTTTTTTTCATTATATGTAGCATACATCATGTTTGGTCATTATATTATTAATTCGAAATGTATTTTTAGTTGATTAGAATCTAGAGATGACAGGATATACCCAAGGCTCTGCTCTCAAACGTAATTAAGTTTAAACTTAAGCTTGATGTTAGTTGGCTGGTCAATAATTAGTTTTAACATGCTGTACTGGTAATTGTACAATACAATGTTTTTCTGTTTCCCCATGACCCAGTTTTAATATTAATTAAAATGATAATATTGAATAGATTAGTACAGTATTAAATTATATGGCATCTTAAGTTGATAAAGACAATATCATGGAATTATGTTAAAAACAAAATTATCTCATAAACCACTGTATGTAGCCTTACAACTCAATTATCTTTTGTGAAAACATTCTCCGTTAATAATTATTATTTCAAATAAAAATATAATTTTATTTTTTTAATTGTTAGCGCACTTGCCACAGTGGAACTTCTGAAATAACATTTTTTTTAAATTATTTTTTATTCACCTGCTTCTGAATCTTGTGATGAATATACATTTTTTTTTGCACTTTTCGATGCATTTTTTTTGTTGCTTGTTCATGATTTTTCAAAAAATAAAGTTCGCTAAACAAGGTGTATATATAAGCTTGCCTTAATAATTTAGTTTAATTGTAAAGAATCTGTCTGTCCAGATTCAAATATTACTGTAAGCCTACCGTTTATAGTATGATCCCAGTCTTTGTGTATTACAGTATTAATGTCATGTCTGGTTCAATATGACGGCTTGGTAGACATTGATGATCCTAAGTTCAAGGAAAATGAAAAATTACCAGGATTAAACACATTGGCAGCTAAGATTTTTTGTTGTGGTTTTTTTAATTTTTGTTATAGTAATGTTCAATTCTGTTATTCTCTGCTTCATTTCCCGTCAATCTACTTGATTGACATCTGTTTATTGCTTGTCTTTGAATCATTTGAGTTACCTCTCTGATCCAATGCTTATTAACTACTTGAAAAGAGAACATTTTACTCTTTTTTTTTTTCTTTTTTTTTATAGCTAAAAGACCAAGTGTGAATCCATGTCACAAGTTCACACCATTTTCTGATTTTATGCATTTCCACCAAGATTTTCTAAAATTGTTGAAGTTAATCAGGATGAAATTCAAAATTTCAACTTGTTTTTTTTTTTCTTTTTTCTTTTCTTTTTTTGCTAGAGAGAGTTCATAATACAAATAATTCTACTAGTCATCCAATTACTGTAGCAACAATTGAAATCAGTCCTAAAAATATCTTGCAAATAATTTTTATCTATTTATAGAAATATTGTAAACAACTGATTTTGTTTTTTTTTTTGTCCAGGAAATCATCTTAATAAATCCTTAAAAAGCATTTAATCAACACTTTTATTAGAGTTCAATCGTTTAGATGGGAAATGGTGGTGCTAATATCATATCCAATCCACACCTTTCAGATCTTAATTGAAAGTATTGTTCTTGTCAATTGTTGAACACTTTATCAGCAGCTGCAGATTCTATAGGCCCATTGGGGTTCTGGTATCAATAAACCTGTTATCAGCCATTCAATACTCTGGTTAATATCATAAATAAATACATTAGTGTATCGTGGGAGGTGGGAACAGTACTGTAATATTGACTACTTATAATAATTATTATAAAATATTACTGACTTTATCTTTAAAGTGTGGAAATTTAATTACTTTAAACACATTTATTTGCTTTTGATACATGCTGGTATAAATAAGACCTATTTCTGTGATATCAACTTAAACTGATACTGTAACAACCTGCAGACTACTGTACAGTGCATTACCTGTACAGTAAAACAAATTTATGAATTTAATAATATTATTAACCAGAAGAGACAGGTAAAGACCTGACATACTAGGTCACTAGAGAAAGGGATACAGTTAGATACAGATGGCCTTTTTACCCCAAAAATAGGTTGTGACGAACATAAAATTTTTTTTTTTTATTGAGATACCAAATTGAGTCCTATACCATGTGACTCAATCTCTGTCACAGGGTTTGGATGGGGCTTGCACTGTGTTTTTGGAGGCTTGCGGTGTATTTTTAGGTATTTTTAACAGAAAATCAAGATTTTACCCCAAAAATAGCTTGTGAGGAACATACAATAAGGTTTTTTTTATTGAGATACCAAATTGAGTGCTACACTATGTGATTCAATCGTTATCACAGGGTTTGGATGGGGTTTGCAGTGTTTTTTGGCGGTTTGCAGGGTTTAGCAATACCCGCTTTTTAAATTACTTGAAGGTTTACTGTATGTAATTTATTAAGGACCTATAAATTAATTGGTATTATTTAATCTGGTAAAAATACGTTAATCTACAATTTCCAACTAAAATTATTACAGTAGATTAAAGATAATTTAAGAATAACATTCCTTTAATTCATTTAATTAAGAATTTAATTAACAAGGTTAAGTCAGTGTACTGATAATAGGCTGGATTGACTGCTCAGTTCATGTCCAACATAAAACGAAAAATGAATTAGCTTCGCTGTACTATTAATCTATGTGGGGGAGTTTGAAATGGATCGTGATGTGTTGCTTTATGTACAGTAGGGAGACAGCTTGGGGGCTGTTGTGACCTATTTCCATTAACGGTGTCATATGCTCAATTCCTACAGATTATTTTATTCAGGATTTTTCTTATTTCGTTAGACTAAAAAAACGATTCTTAAAACATCAAAATGAATTTTTGATATAACAGTACACATTTTATAAATTTTGTAGGAACTGCTGCTTGATTTTATTTGGTTTCTGAAAATCAGTGATCAAGTATCTGCCTAATTTATTAAATTTATTTACAAAAATGGAAATAATTGTGACCGATTAAGCTTGGTTTCTATAGAATCACTACACAGTATTTTACAGCTTTTCCACTGCAATCCTTGCACTGCGTAGCTATACCCGACACAATGGAGAACGCTCCCTGATTTGGCGATAACATGCAGCAATTTTTATGGAAACTAACTAAGCTTCATTACAAACTAACTAAAAATATGTATCTATCAGCTAGTAGTTATGTGTTTGTTTTATCATACAAAAATAACACTGACCCTGAAATGTCCTAAGAAATTAGAAGAAAATTTCTTGCCACAAATTTAAAAAACTACTGTACCTGTATAGAGTACCACAGTCGTGTCATCACGATGTCAGGTGGTGCTCTCTGTTGTCAACAGACGTTGGTTACCATTCATTAGGCCTGAATGACTTCTTAGGCTTTCTGGAACAAGCATTTTAAAATCTAATATTTTACCATCAAAATGTACTAAAAACACAAAAGCTCGCATTATATTAGTTACCGAACACAAATTTAATCATTAATTAAAATTTACAAAGAAAAAGTAGGATATAACATCTTAATAATTACGTTAGAAATTGAGATCAATGGTTTGTCAGTGGAGAAAATAGCATCCGGTTGAATTCATTTTGCAACGATAGCAACGGAGTAGTATCACATGGTATCATGACGTAACACTATAGTACTCTAAAGGCTAATAATTATTTGCTTGTTTTTTTCCCTTTTTTTTGCAGGAGAACACAAGGGAACATGTGGAGCAGGGTTTTCATGTTGTACTACTGGGATGGAGCAAAGACTAACAGAAAGTTGTGGCGAGGAGTTTGAGAGTAATCTCTATGAAGCCAGCTTTCTTGTACGAGATAGCTACGTCTCCAAAGCAAAGAAATTTGATGGTGAGTTACCTAATTTATTTTTATTTCGACCCTAGATACTGTACTTTCTTTGGCAAAAATAGAAATTTAGAAATTTATAGTAGGCTGTATACTATATTTTTACTGTTAAAATGATAAGGTTTAAAACACAGAACACAGAACTTAACACAGAAAATCTATACATTATCTATTTTTAGTACATTTACAAGGTGGCCAGAATTTCGAAAGATTTATAATATATATATAATAACAACTAGAAAAACTTGTAAACTTTACAAACGGAGAAACTTTTCACAAAAAATGTGTTTTTCACAAGACCATTTTCACTATACAAATTATACGAAGTAAAACAAACGTAACTATAATAAAAGCAAACAGAAAAATATATACAATTATGAGTCAAAAAAGGAAAGATTTGAAATCACATTAATTTTAAATTTCATTGACATAATACAGATAAGTATAATGCAAACTCTTAAGTATAAAAATACTGTACACGCTAATGTGTTGGGATAAAATACAAATAAATATACAAAAGTAAAAATATTAGTACTGTAATCTTAATAAAACTTCACAGTAAAAATTTACTTCAGAAACTAAAACAAAACTTATGAAAAAATAAACTTATGAAAAAGGGAGCTGTTATTGTTAATACAAGTAACAATATTATATAATTTTTAAACATTAATTTTGTATAGTTGGTTGTTTATTAATCTTTTAAAAATATTTATGTTAGTGGCAGTTATTGCATTTGGATTTATATCATTTAGGCTATTCCAGATATTTGCACCATGATATATTAGGAGAAACTAAGTCTTTGGAATTCCTAGTTATATTTTGTTTTCATTCAATTGCTATTTTATTAAGTTTGTTTTTTCATACATTGATTCACTTTGCATTGTATCAAATTTGAATATGCCTGCCTTGATAACAGATGTCACAATGCCTAGAGACCTAATCAACTTTGAAACAAGTTCTTTATATTCGGTTATCCGCTGGAAAATTGCCTGATTTTGCATAATACACACTGGCTACATTTCTGAATAGAACACTGCTTAAATATGTGGTTGGAAATAATTTTTAAATTGTGCAGCATACCTTTACAGATATTGACTCCACCTTCTTCTCACCCCTCAAATATACTTCTAATATAAGTTGTGTTGTATATGTCAAGTTACATTTCTCGTACTGTTTTCTTAATGAGGACCACGTTTTTTTTTTGTTGATCAAAATTGCAATACACAAAGAACAGCCATAAGTTCATTGAAAGGACAAACAAACCCCTGCAATTTCTGTTATTATCTTAGTTTCATTATCGTCATCAACAATATTATTGGCTTTTGTATTTGCTACAGTAGTGATGCAGTATATAACCCTCTTTAATTAACTGTTGAAATTCACACAATTCCATACTTGATGAAAATGGACTTTAAAAATCTTATCAAAACACTCCAGATCATACTTCAGAAGAACATTTTGCTGAACACTGTTATCGACATACCTATCTCACGTATTCCCGTACAGTAGTTCAGAAGGCCAATCATAGGTCCTACGTCAACGTAAATAAATGTTTATAAAGAAATGCTTGTGTCTTCATTGTGTTATTTATTCATTTTAACACTGTATACATTGTATTGAAAACCTTGTTTCTCAAAGTGTTCCATTACACACAGGGTAAAACTCTTGATTAGGCGCTGTACTGTAGCGCTTATTCGAGAGCGACGCTTAGCGAAAGGAATCATGTTCGGTGCGGCGCTTATTCAAGCATTTATTGTATTGAATGTTAGCCATGTTTGTAGTATGTGGCTTATTGTCCAGAAATCACAGCATAAGTAATATAATGTTAGAGTTTTTTTTTAATCTTGCATTGTCTAATGTGATCACCAGAGTGATAAACGTATATTACTTTGTCAAATATTTCTTATGAAATTCAAGAAAAAATTGAGAAGCTGCTGCTAAAACACATTGCTAGTAGCTTCCATTTAGTCTTTGTTATTAAAATTCCACTGCAGTTAGTCCTAGTGAAGGCTTTATGCAACAATGTATCGTGTTACAAGACTCGTAAGAATATCATAATCCTTTTGTTGTACCAACGAAGATAAAAGCTGCATCTACTGTAGGATTAAAAATTACACATTAATATATTAACAATTCTGCCAGTGCTACTCTCAATTTTCAAGATCTTTCTTAGGCCAATTGAAAATTTACTAATCTTAGTTTATATACAATAACATTAAGACTGTGTGAATGTCTTTAATGCTTAATAATGTTGTGAATTGTTACTGATGATATTGTTTTGAATTCATTTTTAGAATAATATCAGTATTAAATTGCATTTAATAATGTAAAAATGCTATGAAAATAGTTAAATAATTGAACCTTATTTCAGCCTACCATATTAAAGGTTAGTACTTTAAAATGAAAATGAGATGTTTTGTAACTCTGCAATGCAGTGTATATCATACCGCTGTCTGTGGTGTAGCTTCCATTGTAAACAGCATTTGCAAAATAACTGAGAGGCTACAGCTGTAACTCGAGCCTGAGGAAATAGTACAACGGCGGGGAATCAAAGACTGGTTGGTTTTCATTTCAGCAACAGAAAACAGGGTTAGATGTATGGCAATTGAAGGGACTCAGCAGGAGCACGGCGGATAGACTTACAAATCAACGGAATTATACCAGAAAAATCAAATGATTTCTCACCATAGGCTCTGTTATAGTCTGACCTAAAATTAACTCTGATCGAAAAGCTCATTAAAAAAATTCATTATTTTTAGTTGGGCTCTTCTTACATAATCATTAGCAATTTAGAATGAAGGATAGTGCTGGAAAATCAAATGTTGATTTTGATAATGCATTTCGTGTAAGAATACTTTGTAGATAGTGTGTAAGATTGAGAAGGTTAATTTGATTTGTGGTATGTTTGAACTTTCAAGTATTTTGGTATCGGTATTAAAAGTACATTCAGTGTTATTTCTGCAAAAATATGATCAAAGTTTTATGTCCAATTCAGTCAGGCTTGGGCATCTTCAGTTGCTACAATTAATTTCACTCCTCATATTATATTACTATTGTTGTCGTAATTTTCTGTTTCATTTTTCAGTCCAGATGGGAAATTCATTATGATATTGTTTCCAAATTTTTAAATAATCACACAGCAATTCCACCTCTGTATCTTTGTTAGGCACTGGGCAATCTAGCCATGGTGGGTACTCCCAGATGGTCTCGGTAACGTGCCAAGAAAGCTACAGAACAACCAAAGAAAGTACCTTACAAAAACATTGTGCGCTTGCAGGGGACATACTGTAGGCAATTGTTAATATTGATTATGCACGCATATTAAGCATATTTCGTGCCGTTTTAAAGTTTTTAAGTCACTGTAACATTTCTCAAATTATAACAACAAGTGATATTTCTATTTGATTCACTATTCTGCTGTTTTATAGTTTCTGATTTTATTTGTCCACATTCACAATGAAAAACCCTATGGTAACTACTTTACTTCAGGATCAACTCTGTATAACAATGTATTACTAAATATCATTTTATTATTTATGATGAAAATAATTTTCAGCAACATGCTGTAAGGCAAACAAACATTACTGTCTATATTATATCATTTTTATGTGAACTTTTAAAGCAACATATGTTATGACCCACCAGCGTACAGTATATTTCAATAACAAATTTATTAATGACAGTAGAAATTTTGTCATGTCCTTTCATTGTTCCTTGTTCAAGTAGAAAATTAGATTATATTTCAGATTTATGGTGTAGAACAACAGTCTGCCATTATCATCAGTTTCTGTTGTATAGTACTGTAGAGTGATAATAATAATTATAGAACTACAGTTCGTCCTCCAATTTGATGCTGCCTTCGGGACCTGAAGATTTGGGGTGGTCTCAGGGTTTGGTCTGTAATTAGAGGGTTAGTTTTGTGTTAAAAGATTGAAGATTTTTTTTTTCTTTAAAAAAGGGGTCTCGAATAAGAGGGGTCTCAGAATTAGAGTAGTCTCGTCTCCAATTGTACAGTAGGGTGCACTGCACTTTAAAACAGAACTTATCTACCCAGTGTACAGAAGACAATAGATTTGTAGAAAAAATGCTTCCATTAAGAATTGATAAGGTACTACGTAATAATAGCTATTGATAAGGTACTACGTAATATAATTAATAGCTATACGTGTATGCACTGAAATAGCATCACCATGCACTAATGGAAAATTAGTACATGGTATGGCATGTGAAGCCTGGTTTCCATAAAATGCCTGTACTAGTCAAGGTCTGCAATTTGATGCTGCCTTCGGGACCTGAAGATTTGGGGTGGTCTCAGGGTTTGGTCTGTAATTAGAGGGTTAGTTTTGTGTTAAAAGATTGAAGATTTTTTTTTTCTTTAAAAAAGGGGTCTCGAATAAGAGGGGTCTCAGAATTAGAGTAGTCTCGTCTCCAATTGTACAGTAGGGTGCACTGCACTTTAAAACAGAACTTATCTACCCAGTGTACAGAAGACAATAGATTTGTAGAAAAAATGCTTCCATTAAGAATTGATAAGGTACTACGTAATAATAGCTATTGATAAGGTACTACGTAATATAATTAATAGCTATACGTGTATGCACTGAAATAGCATCACCATGCACTAATGGAAAATTAGTACATGGTATGGCATGTGAAGCCTGGTTTCCATAAAATGCCTGTACTAGAGCAGGACCCTACTAGAGCTACAGTGTTTTTCACTGCAATTGTTGCATTGCATACAGTACCGCCACGAAATATTGCAATTTTACCTGCGCACAGGCTTCGTAGATACATCGTAGCCTGATGCAGTGATATAAACAATCTAAGCAAGGCTACGTGAAGCGAACCTGCAAAGCAAAAGCATGTTGTTTATTTGTATGTGCAGAAAGACTACTATAGCTTACTGGAATAAACAATGTAGTAATATTGCTTGATAATTAATTGTGAATGATAAACATGAGTTTAGACCGTTAATTTAAAGTATGGAGCTGCTTTTAAATAAG